GAACTGAATCCTGCCATCAACCACGTGAGCTTGGAAGCAGATCCTTCCCCAGTCAAGACGTCAGATGAGGCCAACCCTGGCTGATACTTTCCTTGCAGCCTTGTGAGAAGCCCTAAAGCAGAGGGCTCAGTTAAACTATGCGAAGGTTCCTGACCCATGGAAACTGTGAGCCTGTGTGTTGTTTTAAGCTGCTGAGTTTGTGGCTACTTATATAGCAATAGAAAACCAGGACTTAGATGTATAGGTGAGCTAGCCATAACAGAGTACCACAGACTCGGGGGCTTAAACAGCAGAAATTTAGTCTCTCAAATTCTGGAGGCCGAACGTCTGAGATGAAGGCGTTGGCAGGGTTGGTTTCTCTGAGGCCTCTCTCCTGGGCTGTAGATGGACGTCTTCTCCTGCGTCTCCCTTTGTGTGTGTCAGTGTCCTAAATTCCTCTTCTTATAAGGACCCCAGTCGTATTGAATTAGGGCCCCTCCTAATCATTTTAACTTAATTTCCTATTTAAAGACCCTGTCTCCAAATACAGTCCCATTCTGAGGTATAGGGGTTAGGAGTTCAAGATAGGAATTTTACAGGAACCCAGTTCCGACCGTGAGAATAGGCTATATAAAATTCTGTAATTATGTTCATCTCTATAGCACAAACTCTACCATTGATTGTCGACGAAGGTCTTTTGCTACCTAGTTTTCATTTATTTTAACATAGTTATACCTGCGTCAGATATATCTCACATGGCTTGGCATATATATTTGCATATCCCTATCTCCATAACAAAAGTATAATTTCTATAAGCGTATGTTTTTCATATGCTTTACGTATGACACCTTACAGTTTTTAAGATGGTATTAGATGCATTTTCAAAATCTGGTTTGCCCTTTTGTGTTTACTGGTATATTTCTAAATAAGACTGTTCTAGAGGTAGCCTGTCTTAAGAATGAGGAGCTGTTAAAGAGATAACAGCGTTCTGAAGAGTTTACATTTATTTGAAGTACTTGTAGTTTTAGATCGTGGTAAGACCTGAGGGTATCTCTCTGTATATGTGGTAATCCAGATGTAATGGATGGCCTGTTAGCTCCTGTCCAGTGCTCTGCCGGTTCCTTAAAACACTCTTTCTCTTTGAGCTGCTAACAACACTATATATGTTTAAAGTATTTTCCTAAACTGCCAAAAGAAGTATTCCATGAAACAATTCTTTACATACCAGAGGTTCTCAAAGTGTGGTCTGCAGACCCAGGAGTCCCTGAAACCCTCTTAGAGGATCTAAAGGTCAAAACCATCATCATATTAAAACTAAAACATTATCTGCCCTTTTTTGATGTGTTTTAACATTTATACTTATGATGCAAAAGAAAGACTGGATAGAATTGCTGGGGCCTTTCGATGAATCAAGACAGTGGCATCAAACTGTACTATTAGTCTTTGTGTTTTTCAGCAACATGCCCTTGTAGACCAAAAAAAAGAGCTCGTTTGTCTTAAGACTGCCCTTGATGAACCAATTAAAATTACCACTGTTATTAAATCTTGACCCTTGATCACAGCTCTTTGCAACATTCTGCATGACTAAATGGGGAGAATGATAAAATGCCCCTATTCCATATCAGGGTATAATGGATGTCTCAAGGAAAAGTACCTGTGCAGTCGTTTGAGTTGGAAGCTGAATCAGCTGTTCTTTCAAGGAACACCGTTTTTACTTGAAATAACAACTGAAAAACCAGCCCTGATTATTCAGACTTAGGTTTTTGACACACATTTTCTCAAAAATGAATAAAGTGGGCCTATCGCTTCAAGGAAAAAAAACTGGCAACATTTAATGTCAATAACAACTCAAACTTTTAAACAAAAATTATAATTTTAGAAAACTTGTATCTGCCCGTGAGAACTTGACTGATTCCCAAATTTAAAGATTGTTCTGATGAGATTAGTGGTGATACTAAAAGTTGTTATTTTTATGATAGTGTATAATAAAATGTGTCAGTATTTGGAAGAACTGTATAATGTATTGAACCATTATTTTCCAAAAGACTGGTGCATCATGTTGTAAAATTATGCCTGGGTAAGAGATTCAAAGTGCAAGGAAGAACAATGGATTTTAATGTAGCAAAGTAAAATTTGATTATATTGGATGGTATACAATGTTGAAAATAAATTTGATTTAAACACTAAAGTTTATAATTTCACTAATATGAGTCATAAAGTTCATTGATAAGTTTGAGATTTCACATGGCAACTAACCTTTAAGAAACCACCAATTCTTGAGTTTTGGTGTAATGTAAAAGAATAATATCCACAGTTATCTGAAAAGGCTATTATAGTGCTCCTTCCTTTTCCAACTACATGTCCTACGAGATCACCTTTTTTTCATACACTTCAACCAAAACAACATATTGCAACGGATTGAATGTAGACACAAACATGAGAATACAGCTCTCTTCTATTAAGCCAGACATCAAAGCGATTTGCAAAAACGTAAAATGGTGCCACTCTTGTTGCCTTTTTTTTTTAATATAGTAGTAAAATATGTTACTGTGCTGGAGTTGGGAAACCAGCATTTTGCTACAGTCATAGTAATGGTTGATTCAGGCAGGAATCATCACCAAATGCTAAATCTAGAGGGAAATTTTGATAAAGAACAGGATGTTTTCATGGTCTTAAAATGTCTCCCCACATACTTCTTAGTTACAAAGAAAAAATAAAAAATAATTATTTAGCTGAGCAATGCAATAGTACCTTGATGTGGTGACCCAAGTTATCACCCATTTGGAGGGGCTGTTGGGCAGTGTGTCCCTCTAGATGTGATAGCCTGGGAAAGATGGGTTCTAGCTGAGGAAGCGTAGCCTAAGTCAGATCGGGAGCAAACATTTGACAAAACCAAAGTGAAGAACGTTTTCTTTAAAATATAGACATAGTCGTATTCTTAAAAAAAAGTCAGGTCATAAAAAACAAAGAAAAACTGTGAAAATATTCTAGATGAAAGGAGTCTAAAGAGAAATGAACTAAATGCCTGTCTGACCCTGGACTGGATGCTGCGCTAGAAGGAGAAAAATGCCATAAAGGGCATTGTTGGGTTAAATTGACAAAATTGGAGTATGGATGGTGGTTTAAAGTATTGTATCAATGTGAAATTTGCTGAGGTTGATAACTATACTGTGATTGTAAGAGAATATCACAATTCTTAGGTAGTACATACTGAGATTTTAGGGATAAGGGGCATTAATGTTTATAACTTAGCTTCAAATGGTTGAGAAAAAAATTGTTTCAGCTTTCAATATAAATATACATTTATATTTGTATATATATGTGTCAATTAGACATATATATATACACATTTACATGTACATATACAAGCACAGGGAGGAAGAGAGAGCATAAATTATGTTAAAAATGGGCAAAATGTTCATAATAGATGTATCTGGATAAACAGTATACAAGTGTTTTTTGTACTATTCTTATTCTTCAAATTTCTGTGTTTTAATTATTTCCAAATAAAAAGTTTAAAAATTAAATGCAGTCACTTATGTTACTGTAATAGGTTAAGTATTGTTTTTAAATGAATTAATAAATCCATATGTAAAGTTTTTCTCAGTTTTATTTCTATTAGAATAAATGTTAATAGATCTAATCCACATAAACAAAGGCTCTTTGGTGTCCTGGATAATTTCTAAGTGTTAAGGGGTTCTGAGACCACAGAGTTTGAGGACCATTGACGGAGACTGTGTGTAGGTGGTTAGGTGGGCGTCCCCCTCATTCTCTTAAGGCTGTTTTATGACACTAGTTAATGAGAGCCAATTTGGTATGTGCAATTTACTAATTTTGTAATCTAGGGCAAGTCACTTAACCTCTTTATGCCTTAGTTTTTGTGTTTGAAAAATAGCGATAACATTGCTTATCTCAGAGGGCTCTTGTAAGGTTTAAATCAGGTACTCCATGGAAAGGCTCTCAACTAAGGCCTCTCTGCAGTACTATCCTTATTGGCAACCTGTATTTCTGCTGTGTTCTTACCTTTCTCTGCCATTTTTTTGTGCTTTAGCTATGATTTTGGTTATAATTATGTGCATAGGAATGAACACAAAGAAACCGAAGAAGAGTATCAGATAGTTCTTAAAGTGCGAGTTTACGGTGGTCTGTGTCCCTTGAAAGAAGTGGTTAGGCAAACATAAAAGGGTGAAGATGGGCAAGCAGTCTGGGTTCTTTGGAAGTCCTTGATACAGGGAAGAGCATCATACCCCAAGGAAGCTGGACCAAAAACTGCATGAAGAGTGGTTGATAGAAGACGTTACTGGACAGGGAACACTGCTCCACTAGGGGTAAACTGAAATCAACTCCATTTAGCCCTGGTTCCCTTGGCATTCCACTTTCCCGATGTGCATCCTCTGCTTAAACGTGTGTCTCTGTGCTGGGTTATTTAAGTTGTCGTAACAGTGTTCAGTTAGGGGAAAGGTAAGAAAGAATACTGTTGTTTGTGCCGTTTTCACTGTTTTCCCAGCCCAAGTCTAAATTTAGTGCTATTCTATACCCTACTCTATCAGGCATCACACCAATGAAAATAAAGAAAATTAGAGGCTGGCCCGGTAGTGCAGCAGTTAAGTGCACACGTTCTGCCTCGGAGGCCTGGGGTTCGCCGGTTTGGATCCCGGGTGTGGACATGGCACCACTTGGCAAGCCATGCTGTGGTAGGCATCCCACATATAAAGTAGAGGAAGATGGGCACAGATGTTAGCTCAAGTCCAGTCTTCCTCAGCAAAAAGAGGAGGATTGGCAGCAGTTAGCTCAGGGCTAATCTTCCTCAAAAAAGAAAGAAAGAAAGAAAGAAAATTAGATTGTTGAATTATGTTGTGTTCACCTAATTCCAAATTCAAATGATCACTTTTTAAAAAATAAATCACAGGTTAAGTAAATGTAAAGGCTTTATGTCATTTTGGTATGCTGCCTTTTAATCTTTTTTGCTAAACATTGTGATTTATTTTTCTGTGTTTTGTTATTGTTTTTGTTTAAAACAGATCATCAGAAACTGGAAAGGGAAGCTAGAATCTGCCGTCTTTTGAAGCACCCCAATATTGGTAAGGAAAAGTTTCCAATGGATTTTAAATATTAAAGTTTTATGTATTTTTACAATTAAGAAATGTTACTTTAATAATCTAGATTATTTGCAGCTGTTAACAAAAAGTTTACTAACTTTTAGTCTTGGTTACTTTTTATTCTTTACAGTTTTTCAAAAGGTAGCAGTTCTGTATATACTAACCCTTTAAAAATAATTTAAGGTATGTTGAATGGTGCTTGTATGTGCCTTTAAGGGTTGTTCAGCTGCTGCTGCTGCTGGAGCGTGGAGAGGTGAGGCTGATGCCATTATTTTAGTCAGCTCAATTACTTTTCACCTATCTGGTAAAAAGTTTACCTTGCAGTCATTGATTCAATTCCACAAACTAGTAAAATTATTTTAGAATATTCTCCCTCATGAATTCTGAAAAGTGTGATAATGTTCAAAATAAAAACATTAATGTGTAAGAAAAATAGAAGAAAGAAACAAAGGAAAGAAAAACAAAGAATGAAAAATATGCATATAAATGTAAGCTAGATTCTGTGACATCAGGTTTGATTATTTTGGAAAAATATTACTGTCCCAGCTCTGTTGGTTTATTGTCAACCTAAGTATTTCTGATATAGAAGTAGAGAGGGAGTGGTAATGCTGTAGAAGTAGCAAAATCATTTACTGAGAAGGTTTACAGTTCTTTTATTTTTGTGTATTGGACCATTCAATTTCTATTCCTGCCTTGAAGCTTTTAGTATCTTGCATTTTGTGGATACTTCTTAGGTTCTTGAATGAATGAATAGACACTGCCAAGTAAATCTGAAGCATTAACAAACTAGCAGCTGTCTAAAAGGAGCCTTCTGGTTTGGAGAGAGAACAACACCATTTTGAAATGTAAACCTACCTCGTCACAAGTATTTCACTCTGATAAAAGTCTGCGGCATTTCTTGGTTGGCTGCGTTAGTTTGCTAGGACTGCCAGAGCACCACAGCTGGGTGCCTTAATCAGAGGAATTTATTGCCGTACAATTCTGGAAATTAGCAGTCTGAGGTCAAGGTGTCAGCAGAGTTGCTTGCATCCAAGTCCCCTCTCCTTGGCTCGGAGATGCCCTTTTCTGCCTTTGTCTTCACGTGGTCTCCCCTCGGTATGCTCTCTCGTGTAATTTCTCCTTTTTGCAAGGGCCCCAGTCCTATTGGATTAGAGTCCACTCTGATGGCCTCGTTTTAACTTAATTACCCTTTTAAAGACCCTGTCTCCAAACACAGTCCTATTTCGAGGTACTGAGAGTTAGGACTTGAACATGAATTTTGGGGAGACAAAGTTCAGCCCATAATATTAGCTAAAGAGAAATTACAAAATATGACCCACTATAGTTCAAAGAGTACTTTTTGCTAAGGTTTAAGATAAAATGGAATCTTTGTTTACTGAACTTGTTATTCTTCTGAAGGAGAGTTGTTTGTTTGTTATTAATCAGAGTCCTTCTATGAAACTCAATTTTTGTAGATAATGAAACTAGTTACCTCCATTTCCTCTAGGACACCAAAGTCAAACATTCTAAGGACACTCAAACTAAAACAAGAACAATTTTCATTTTGACACCCCATACAGAATAACCTTCCCAAAAAGGGAGGAAGTTTTATGCTACAGAAAGTTCTAAAGTTTGTGACACAGACAGCACCATCAACGCACCCTGACACAAGATGTACTTTCTCAGGGGTCCATGGCAGCCAGCATCCTGACTGCTTGGTTGTCTCACTTGAGGTGTTCTTCTCTGAAGATTTCAGGAGTACAAATGCAACTGTGGAAATCCAAGTCCTTGAACTTTCAGACCCCGCTTCTAACCACAGGAGAGGTTTCTAGTGATCCTGGACTTCAGAGTATAAGTCACAGATAGATTAAACTTCTAAGACATAGTCTCAAAAATCAGAACAGTGGCAAATTCACTCATGTCATTCATTCACTCAACAAATTTAATATTCTAGGACTGCAGTAGGAACTCAACAGACCAATGTTCCCGCCCCCATGGAGCTTGTGTTGTTGGGGCAGACTGACAATAAATGAAATACAGGATGTTAGAGTGTAATAATCACTGAGGAGAAAAATAAAGCAGGGAAAGGAAATTGGGAATGTTGGGGATTACAATTTTAAAAAGTTGGTCTGGATGACTTCATTGAGTGTAGTATTTGAGTAAAGATCTAAAAGACAAGAGGAAGCAAGTCATTTGGCTCGCTGGGGAAAAAAGCTTTACAGACAGGGGGAACAAACAGCCTGTACAAAGGCCCTGAGGCAGGAGCTTGTCCAGTAGATTCCACCAAAGGTTTTTTTCTAATTGGAGAAATGAGCATGAGTTTTCGTTTTATCTTATCTTAATTGGTGGATCTCCATGTCGTGTAACCTGGCAATGTCATTTTTATTCATGTAAAGAAAAATGATTCAACAACAACAACAGTAATTGTCATAAAATACTAAGCAGCAGTGAATAAAGCAGGAGTGTTTTGAAGACAGACGCCAGAGTGGACGTCTGAGATACTAGAGAGCAGGGCCGCACAGGGTGTGCTGAGCAGAGTGCTGCTATGCTGTCGGGATCACTGCGCCTCCCTCGGTAACAATTGTACATAGATCACTTGTACTTGACCGGTTGAGGTTAGCAGGGAAAACAGCATTTGGTCTTGATTTCCCTGAAATAGATAACATGGTATCTAAGGAATGCACGGCCCTTATCCTCTTCCTTCTGCCGTTCTATTATTTGCCTGATTTTCTTAAAATCTGTCAGGTGTTAGAACTTCAAGGAAGGAAATACTATTTTTGACAATTTTTTCTCCTGTGAAAATTTGCTCGTTAGATTTTAATTTTTTTATGTGCCTTTCTCTTGGCACAGAATCGATATCTGAGAACTTGGGGCAAGTAAAAGGTTTCTCCCAACAAAACCCATTTTATTTATTTTTTTATTTTTTTACAAAACACATTTTAAACCAAATAAAAGTGGTGATTCACTAAACCACTTTCTTTTCTTCAGTGTTTTTTTTTATGTTTTTCTGATTTTCAAAGTAATACACACAACTTAGTGGAAAATTTGGAAAACACAATCATGTATGAAGAAGAAACCAGAGGGCACAACTTTTATATTCGTTGTATTCATTTCTGCCTTTTAATAATAAATCTTATGAGTATGCCAGCTTTCAGCATTCTCTTGTGTGCATTTTCATACCCCATTAGATAAACCATGAAAATGTAATTTTTAGTTGTCTCACTGAACAAAGTTTATTGAGTGTGTGGCCATTGCCAGGCCGTGTTATATACTCAACACACTGGTGATGAGGCCATGATCAAGAGAGACAGTGCCCCTGCTTTCACAAAGCCTTGCACCCTAGTGTAAGGAGATAGGCTATAAACAAATAACCCACCATAATAATGTCGTAGGAATTAGGTCTATATAGAGAATTAAAATAGAGTAATTTGATACCAGGGGATTGGGTGGCTGCTGTCAAAGAGAAACAGAATCAGACACTAGTTAAAGGCAGTAGACAGATTTTATTCAGTATCACTGCAGTAGAGGAGAGAGCTGTGCTCAATTCTGAATACAGCAAAGACAGCTGGGGATTTATAGCCAAAGAGCAGAATGAGGGGTCAGCAGATGGAAAATTACTAAGAGGAGATATCAAGGGTAGGGGGATTCTTACTAAACTGGCCTAATAAGATTCCTGTCAAAGGCAGACGAAGGACTTAGACATCAAGGATGAGTGATGAGGAACTTGACCAGATATCAAGGGTGAGCAGATATGAAAGACTGACTTAGCAGGATTCTTTGCTAAGACTAGCTTAGGCAGGTTGCCCCTAAGGACAAGCCTTAGTTGAAAAGATGGCTCAGAGGAGGCTGTCTAAAGTTTGGTCAAGGAGAGAGTCTTTGTCACTACTTTCGAGTGGTTCTTCAGTCAAGATAGGTCTGCAGAGGTCATATTTAAACTGATATCCAAATGACAGGAAGAAACCATAATGAAAACTCAGGGAGAAAGGGTTGTAGGCAGAAAGAGCTTCCGTTGTTATGGGAAGAGTTGGGGACCAGAGTGTGACCTGCCATGGGTGAAAGAGAGAGTCAGATGACCTGAGATCAGTCAGAAGGGTGGTTAGGTGCTTGACCACGTAGGGCTTTGTAAACTAGGTTAGAATGTTTGGGTTTTATTCTTAAGAGCAAGGAGAAGTTAGTGGAAGGATTTTCAGCTGGAGGAGTGTGTCATAATCTGATTTGCTCTATCTGCTGTGTATAGAATGGATTGCAGTCACATAAACAGAATTAGGGATAATAATTAGTGTTCCACCAGAATTCCATCAGAATCTAGTGTTTATCACCCTAGTGCCCCTCAGCTCCATCTTCTTGGGTAAGAACTTAAATAGCTCGAGGCTGGCTCTCTATTCTTTGTGGTCCACATAGTCTATGGTAAGCACCATGGACCTTTTGGCTCAAAAAATTTGGGAGTGCAGGCAATTTCCTAAGCAGCTCCATCTTTGCTCCACCTTCAGAGCAGCTAGCCAGACGATTTTGTTTGAACCCCAAAGTGGGAAGAGTATAGCTAACTCCACATTAACATTGAGGTGTTGAAGCAATTTGGAGAGACTATCTTACCTCATGCTTCTGTTAATTAGCTTATTTTTCATCATTATGTCCATCTTTTATTTTAATATAATGGGTTTATTTTCTCTTGAGACACAAAAACAAATTTGTGGTAAACCAAATAGTTTGAGCTGTATGTCAACATATCTACTAAGTAAGGGGAAAATACCTTTAAAGTAGTGAAATAAAATATTTGAGGTAATAGCCGAATTGTCCTCAAAATTATTCTATATTTCCATTGTTTTTGTGCTTGATCTTTGATAAGCATTAGTGCTAAGGAATTTATTGAAACCTGTGGTGAAGCCCAAGTAACTAAAAACAGTGAGGAGAAAACTAGGAAGACAGCCAAAACACTCACTTAATCCAACTCTATGAATCTGAACGGAACTGGACCAGGAAAGGAAAAGAGAAAATACTGGGAA